TGTGTGTGTGTGTGCTTGTGAGGCGGAGAGAGCAGCTGCATTTGCACAACAGGCCTCTCTGGAGCGGGCGGGGTGTTCCGCAATTCTAGCCTGGTTGCTTAAGTCATCAGGCCAGGTGCGTCCTGCCTGGGGAGGGCAGCAGCCTCCCGGTGGTCTCCCTTGTGCGGTCCTGCTCCAGGCTCCGTGGCTGGATGGGCCAGGAGAGCATCCAGAGCCAAGCTGGACTGGAGAGAAGCAGAGGGAGGCTCCCTTCATCACCCGAAGTTTCCAGCTGTGCATCAGGAGTTGCAGCTCAGCCAGTGATGAAATCTGGGCCTCCGGAGAGGAAAGGCAGGCGTGAGCTTTGTTGGGTGCCCAGCATAGCCTGGCGCTGCTGCCTTTCAGGATGCCACTCCCTGGCAGGGAGGAGAGAGGGGGGGGCTCCTCCTTTGGCTGACTCTTCCCAAGGGAGGGGGTTAAACTCGCCCCAGAGGGCTGTGAAGCTCAGGGCCTGTCGGGTGATGTGAATAATTCCACCTGCAGGTTTCCCATTGGGCTTTCTGTGCAGATCAGTGGGCTTTCTTAGTTCTTGCCCTCTTTTGTCTTCCATCGGCTGTTTAATTGGTTTTATTACAATTTCCCTGTTTGTGGGAGCTACGCAGCGTCATTGGGAGCTTACAGGTCTGAAGGACATAAACAATTAAAGAAGTAAATGCACCATGAATGCTGTCATCGGGTAACTCTTGATTGGGAAAGTAGCTGAAGAGCTAAGAGGCTGCCAGGGTGGGTCCCTGGCATTGTCCCTCGGAGCCCCCATGTGCCAGAGGAGCAGGAGATGCTGCCAGGGCACCCGATGTCCGTGGGCATCCTGCCTGCTGCGGCTTGAGCCTCCTTCAAGGTCTCCCTTTGCTGCTTACTTCCCGCATGCGTGGCAGCTTCTCCTGCCCGTGGGTGCCGCAAATGGGCATCAGCCTTGCGAGGTTCCTTCGGCCCAAAGCTCAGCCAAGTGATGGCAAAGCCAAAGGGACAAAGCCACAAAGCCGTTTTCTGTCCTGCCCCAGACGGCCCCGGGCGCCAAGAGCGGGAGCTGATGCTGCAGCTGAAGGAGGTGGTGGACCGTCAGCGGGACAAGATCCGTGCCCAGGACCACGAGATCCAGCGCAAGGCCTGCGACACGGAGGCTGTGAGTGCCAGCGGGTCCAGACGGCGGGGAAGCCAGGGCGGGGGGCCTTCCGCCTCCCCCAGTTGCTGAGGGCCATTGTGTCTTTGCAGCTGCAGGAGCAGCTCAGCCGCTTCATGACCATGAACGAGAACCTGCGACGGAAGCTGGCTGCGGTGCAGGTCCAGCTCAGGAGCGCCCTGGAGAGGAAGGGGGAGGCGGAGGCCCTCTGGGAAGCGGAAAGGCCTGGCAGAGCAGCAGAGCCCGCCAGGACTGGCAGCCCCACGGTGAGAGGGACAGAGCAAGAGGGAGGGCAAAGAGGGCTCAGGGCAACCTGGAGGGGCCGTGGCCTCCTCGACCCCTCCTCCCTCTGGATGCACAAGAGCCCTGTGGACCACTACAGAGGGCGCTGCCAACCGTACGAGGTAGACCAGATTAGAAACCGACTCCACAGGGAGACCCCAGGGAGTCGGGGAGGGCCGGCTGAGCCTTTTCCTAAGGCTGCCCTGCATGCTTGGCCTTGTTGAGCTTCTGCCCCACTCGAGGCCTTCTGGACGGCTTCTCCAAGGTCATCGCAGTGCCTCCCTACGGCACCTTTTGTCCTTCTAAGCTGGGCTCCAAGTCGCCTTGGGATGGGGGGAGCGCTGGAGGGGCATCCCGCTGGGGAGCATGAGGCTGATGGCACCCCGAGTTCAGCCTGGGCGCTTTCCAGGCGAAAGGGGGAGGTGGTGCCCACAAGCAGGTGGCCACCCACCAGCTTCCTTTTATTCATGGTTTTGGGCTTGACTTCGGACTGACCTGGGTGGCTCACAGAGCAAGGCAATGTAAACGTACCCCATCTTTCCTTAGGAACGGGAGGAGGGGGATGTGGGAGGGGCTACAGTCCCCCCAGAACACCCCCCTGACCAGCGCAGCTTCTCGAAGGAAGAGCTGGAACAGATCCTTCAAGAACGCAACGAGCTCAAGACCAGCCTCTTCTTGGTGGAGGAGGAGTTGGCCTACTACCAGCGGTCAGTCGGTCTCCCTGGGTATGAAGTGGGGGGAGCTTCTCTCCTGACGGACCCATGGCAGCCCCACAACTGCCTTTGCTGCAGGAGAGCTGGACTGATTCTGGTAGGGAGGCCCACGTTCGTCTTCTGATGGAGTAGCTGCTGCAGGGGTCTCTATATGGGCCGGGGGGGGGGCTGTCCAGCCCTGCAGAAAATACGGGGTGGTACCAACCCCGGGACCGTCCCTCTTCTTTGGAGTCTCCTGCCAAGAGTCAGCTTGTCCCCGTCAGAAAGCTTCTGGCCCTGGAGAGCGGATTGTTGGGATGGGTGGCTGTTGAAATAACGGAAATAATAAGTTCTTCTGAAGACCACAAAATCTGTGGTCCTTCGCCTTATCCTGCAGTGCTGCTGTCATCTTCTTTTACTTTTCACCCATTGGAAAAGCAGTGGGTTTTTTGCCTGTCCTCCACTGCCCCCCCCCCAAGGGACACCTGTCCAGCCTCTCTTTAAACACCTCCAGCCCCCAAGCTGTTTAAAGAGCGCTTAGTGTTCGGAAGCCCTTTCCACCAAAACACTCCTAATTTAAACCCTAATTTCTTCCTCGCCTTCGGCAACCAGCCTGGAAAATTCAGACTGGTCATCTACCTGGTGGCCATTTGGTGCTTGAAGGTGGCTGCCATGTCTCCTCGTGGCTTTCTTTTCCCCAGGAAGTTTCTCCAGTTTGCCAGGCTCCTTCTGTGGTGTCCAGAGCTGGTCCCAGGCACGGCCCCTTGGCTCCTTCCCCATGAGGCTTGGCCTTGCTCACCTGCCCAGGGAGCCGGAGGCCAAGCCTACCGACTCACCTGGAGACAGATGGAAGGGACCTGGGAGATCTTCTAGTCCAATCTCCTGCTTAAGCATGGTACTCTAGAGCAGTGTTTCTCAACCTTGGCAACTTGAAGATGTCCGGACTTCAACTCCCAGAATTCCCCAGCCAGCGAATGCTG